CACACACACACACACACACACACACACACACACACACACACACACACGCACACACACAAAATGGGAAGCAGGAAAAGGGGAGCTCAATCTCCAACATATAGGCCAAGTTGCAGATATTCCAGTCTTCCAGATATAAAAAAGTGCACACGGCGAACACACCAGAAGACGCAAGCCGAAAGGAGAATGTGACGACCAGCGAAGAGATGGGAAGGAAGGGGCAAGCAGGAAAAAGACTTCATCGAGGATAAGGAAAAAAACTGGTAGCAGTGAAATGGATGTGGAAGAAAAGAACCCAGCCCATGTGGCTGAATGGTACAACACATATGTGACTCTTAATAAGGAGATCATGAGTTGAGATCCTGATGGAATCAGATGTATATACAGTAAAAATGTGGACAGAAAGGAGTTTTTAGAGCGCAGAAGCATACCATCAACAAACCAGTAGCCATCGGATGTGATAAAAGCTTTGTGGACATTCAGATCTGCCTCAGTGAGCAATTGCACGATCCGCAAAAGACACCCCTGTCGGTTCGCGCTATTCACCTGCGAACACCAAATCGTGAAAAGAGAGCCCATCCAACCACACTTCTCAATCCTTAACAAGAGGAAGGACCCACTCAACTGAAATGTTCTGATGAGCTGTTTTGAAATTTGAATTGAGTTGTGTTCATTGACATGTTTCATTTGTTGGAAATCAAGCTAACAGAGGAGTGTTTGCTGGTTGTCACATCATCGCTATACTACCGCCTTCCCCCAAACAGACCGTACCATCATTATAGCTGCATCTAGACTGAAAGGTGGCCCAAATTCAGCTATACAGACCGTACGTTCTATTCGGGCGACAACGAAATGCATCCACACTTCTTTTTCCTGAGTATTTGTCTCCTCTTCTTCTTAGATTTGCGGTCATCTCAGAGGGGAAGGGGGAGGGGGGGAACCGACGGTACGTTGTTTCCCCCCCCCTTCTTCTTCTTCATAGATTTTATGAAACCTTTGTCAGAACAGAAAGATGGGGGGAGGAGAACACACAAACAAACAAACAAACAAACAAACAAACAAACAAACAAACAAACAAGAAAACAATCTCACCATAGGACAAGAAAGCCGAAGAGAGGAGGAGATATGGAGGATCAGCCACCAAAGCCCGATGAACCTAGTCTCCAATGTATCCCCAATGTCACTGCTCATACAATGTCAAGCCGCAATGTCACTGAACCGGGCGAAGCCCGAAAGTCACCAAGTCTCAAAGTCAACTCTCTCTCTCTCTCTCTCTCTCTCTCTCTCTCTCTCTCTCTCTCTCTCTCTCTCTCTCTCTCTCTCTCTCTCT